TAATTCATTCTATAGGCAAGTCATTAAAGGGTGTTCAGCAGGTGTTTATATGATTCACACCTTATGTAGGTTATTCTGAATGGGGTAGAAAGGATAGACTTAAGGTGGTCAAGAATGAATGCATGGAGACTACTGAGGATGCTGTTCTAATAGGGGAGGAGAGAGGAGCTGAGAGGCTTAAGTAGAATAGTGATAGTGGGCCTAGGGAGAAGTAGACTTAAGACATGTCTAGGCTGTAATATTTGCAGGAATTAGTCATTAATTGACTATGGAGGCTATGGAGGTGAAGTAAACTGAGAAATCTAGGAAAATTTACACAGTTTATTGCTTGGCTACCTGGCTATACAGCAGATTCATTTAGTGATATTAATAATAGAAAATCAGATTTTTGGATAAACTATAATGAGTTCAGAAGTGGGACTTCTAGAATGACACTGTGAGAAGTTTGAGGAAACTTACCCCCTGGAAAGACATCTATTAAACTAGTCAAAATTAGCAAAGGCAGTCATCCAATTTCTCTGGAGATCGATCAAAGAGCTTGCAACAATTCAAGAAACATTAATTTAACATAATCTATGGAGCCTAGTGAAAAGGGTGTGATACCATGACACTCAAGCTAAGGGCTCCATCCATACCCCTGCAGCTTTGTGCTACAGAAGACTGTTCCAGCAGTTCCCATCTCCCTCAGATTCCTGAGGTGGAAAAGCTGTTCTGGGTGTATTCCCCAGCCAGTGAACATCAGCATACTCCACTTCCCAGAGCTCCATGCTGTGAAAGACCTATACCAAGCATGTAGTGGCATCAGGGCAGCATGACCAATTCCCCTACCCTCAACTTCTACTGCATAGAGAGGATACAAATCAGGACTACACGCAGTCCCCTATATCTTTTGAGCTGCTGGGGTGGGCTCAGCAGGCAAAATACAAATTCCATTTCTTCAGCTCTTGGGGTGGAAGAGCCATTCTGGGTAGATTTGACAGCCAGAGAAGATTGGCGGATCCCATCCCTTCAGCTCTGGGCTGCAGAAGATCTATACTATGTGGTTGTAGCAGCACCAGTTTCTGTTGCCACCTCTGGGCCAACACACACTGTCACTCAGACAGAGAAGATGTGGGTGAGGAACCTGGTGAAGACTGAGTTCCCAATCCCCCCAGCTTTTGCTCTATAGTGCAAAGGTTCTGTACCATGCTGCTTCCATCCCTCCTATCCATCCAATGGAAAGGTGGAGCAAGCCTAAAAGACTCGTAACACTCTGCTAGCCACAAACAGCATAATTTTATTTGGTTCATACTGTTACAAAGTATAACCCAGGGTATTGTTGAAAACAATAGAACAGTCAGCTAAAAATTAATGGAGTCTAACAGCTGAGTGTGATACCAATAAGACCTGACAGAAGCTTAATGGGAAGACCAGGGAAAAGACAGGCAAAAAGAGTGTGCTAAAATCAGAGTCATCCTGGTGGTCAGGAATGCTGTGTGCACGTCCTCTGAGGAACAACCAGAGAAGGAAATCCGGAGCTGTAGGTCCCAGAATGAACACGGGGCAACCTTGTAGCCTCCCTAAACAGTGAAAGCAGTCTTTAAGCCAACTACCATTATGTTTAGAAAATGATGCATGAGAATCAAAAAATCAAAACAAAGCAAAGAAGATTTGGCAATTATGTGTAGAATAAACAGAAACATGTAGCTTTGATTGCGGGGCTAAGGTATTTCAGAGTTGCCTGTTGTAGCAACTGGTGCCGCTTAACATCTTTTCCTTTGAGATTATAGGAAAAAGGAGTGAGGATACATCCTGATATCAATGAATCTGGGGCAGGAGAAGGAGGCAACTGATACTTAGAAGCCTCAATTGTTTTGAATTAGGAAGTAGGACAGTAAAGTCTGTTGAGAGATGGTGGGCAAGTAAAGGGTTAGCACAAGTGCTGTGCAGAGCAGAATTAAGCAAGCATGAATAAAATGGTTATTGTGCAAGGCTGAGGTACCATCTGAGGTTGGAGAATATGAATTTTGTGGTTGCATCAATCTTGAGGGCTAATTTGTTTTATTCAAACTCCCTTAGCCCCAGGAAGTCGCTAGCATGCACCCAGTATTGTAGTTTTGCTGGGAGGATGCAAGAGAGGCAGGGATGCAACATAGTTGATGGTACTGATCAGGGACCATAAAACATACCCTGAGAGCAACAAAAGTAAAACCAAAAGAGAGATGACTGAGAGAAGATTGTGGTATCAAGGAAGTAGAAGTAGTTATGTGATATAAAAAAATAAATAAAGTTGAAGTTAAGGGTACGGGAGACCTGAAAGCATTAAGGCTGTAAACAGAAAGTCAGACATTGGAATTTGGTGTTTTTGACAATAATAATAGTGAGAGTTACAGAGTGACTGTGTGTGTTATTGGCAATAGAATAGGAATGAAATCTCATTGAGTTCAGGATATCACATGGAACAGAAAGAACTAAGGAACTAGATTCATTATCAACATGAACACTGAAATCACCCTGATACTTAGACTTATGTGGTTGAGAGAAAACATAAAACTATATCGGATATAAGGAACAGACTATAATGTTGGATGGTGATTGCAGTTAGCAGATGTGGTGACACAGACATACAGTATTCACCATAGAGGAGGGAGACTTTCCCCTCCAGAGGTAGAAGGGTAGTGCTTTGGAAATGGAAATAAAGAGGTAGAAGAATGTCGACCTCACTTTCAGGCATTCAACTACATTGGGTATGGCAAAAAGTGTATTTCTGTGACAAATAATAATAATGGCAGCAATATCAGCATATTAACAAGTGTTTATTAAGGCAGGAGGTGGCTGGATGGTCATTGAAGAGGCTGAAGATTTAGTAAAGCTGCTTATCATGGAAGTAGGTGCTGGGCTGGGAAGTTTCAGAACTTAAAGGGCAGAATAGTGTGGAAATGTGCATAAAAAAAAAAAAAAAAAAAGGAGATGAAAGATGACTGAAGGGTGTTATGTTTCAGATGCTAGAGGAAAAGACTATGAGGCAAGGAGGGTTTAGTTAGCCATAGTCATCTAGATGTAACCTTGGTGTCAAACTGTGGAACCACACAGCAAGGGAGGCCCGGGGGGGGGACCTCCATACGAGTCTCAGCACTGTCATCCTTGCAGAGATATGGCTAGAAGATCTACAATGGTGCATTCCAGGCTCAGATTTTCAACAGTCTATGTATTTTATACCCTATTGCAACATACCCTAAGTGGGTAATTTATAAAATTTCTCCTTGACTGCAGATGTTAGGGAAAACATTCTATTGACATAATTATTTCAGAAAGAGAAGCAGAGTTGGGGGGATAGGGTAGAGACAGAGAATGAGGAAGAAAGGGAAAGAACTGAAAGGTAGGAGGAAAAAAGAGAATCAAATCATTCTATCAGTAGTTGTATGTAATCAATAAGGGGACTAGAACCAACTTGCAGACGGGATTCTTTTTGTTTTCCTGTGAATGTTGACATTCTCTAAAAATACAAGTTAAGAATGCAGGTGTCCTGTTCAAATATTTTCCTGGTAGCTGTGGGAGAGAAGCTTGGATTAAGGAGTCCCCAAGTGTTTGTGTTGCTAACATTAAGTTAATCAGTGTGGTATAAATCCGGATGCTTATGATTTTGTTAGAATATAAATTCCTCATGGGAAGGATCTAGCTCTTTTCCTACTTAAGGAAGTGTTTTGTATTTAAAACATACATAAAAATACCTTCAATAAATGTATTTGATAACTTGATGATAGTACTCACACTGTAATATTTTTTCATTCTCTAATTCACTACCTTCTAGGGAAATCAATATTAAATCCTAGACTAAGATATGTAGGATCTTCCTTCTGCTGCCCTAGTATAGACTAACTCACTGTTCAACAGCACACACATATACATGTACCTCACACAAGGAGACACATACATGCTTGCTCATACAACTACACACGAAACTATGCCTAGGCAACTGTATATATGACTTATATGTATAAGTCATGTTTCTGCAGTTAAACTAGAAACTTCCATGTTTTTCTTCACAGCTGTTATATTTTATACTCAATTACATGTAATGTCACCGAGTATAATAGAGTCTGATTTCCCTCTGCTTTGTATAAAGCACTGTTTTTTTCAAGTGCCAAATAAAGCCACAATTTCATTTTAAGATAATTAACATGGGTGACAGATTTCCCCTCCCAAGTTTACAAAGCAACATTTAAAAGTTATGTGTATTTTAATATGGAGGAAAAATGTTTATTAAACTAGATTCTGCGAAATTAAAAATTCATTTTAGGGGGTTTTGGTGCTTTGGAAGGTGCATGGATTCCTCAGGACAATGTTATATATTCTTCAGCTATTTCAGACTAAAGTATATTTATATAACCTACTATTATTTATGTCCAATTAAAGAATTGTTTTCTCTTCTGAAAACCTACTGATTTCTTTTTCACTCTTGTGGCAAACATGTTGCAACTATTGATAAGACATTCAACAGAAAAAAAAAACAGAGCTAGAAATATTATCACAATTCATGATTGATCATCTTTTTCTGGGTATCATACTCAATAATTCAAATTCCCTGAAGCATTTGTTTTTGCCATTGCTATTTTTAAGACTTACAGAAACCTGTTGGTCAAGACATAGATTTACATATTTTGTTTTTAGTATATCAGTGCTTTACTTCTTTCACATTCTGTACATTTGTGTGCAATTATAGATGGCTGAGAAAAATCTCCCTATGTAGTTTGGAATTTGAAAACAGTTGTTTAATTATCATTTATGTTAAATATTTGAAGCTAAGTATCACTTCATGTGTCAGGCTAAAAACTTTTCAATTAAGTGACTCTCCAGAGAATATATACTACCTTGTAGTATAAATGTGACATGACAAGAAAGGAAAGACAGGGGACAGAGTTGCCTACAGCTCTACAAGTGAGTGGAATTAATTCTTACAGGTAGTGGTTTATTCAGGTGCCCTGGAAGCCAACTCCGTGATGGAGATTTAAGTGCTGGATGGAGGTTTATTGAAGAATGGTCTGGAGAACGATGCCTGAAAAGAAGAGAAGGGAGCAGGACTGAGAAGAAGGTGAGTTGAACTGTGATGCAGTTGTTTAGAGGCTTCAGCTGGTCTCCAGGGAGCTCCAGTCCTTCACAGTCACCTCATACTGAAGCCAGAGGCCAGGCCTTTGCACCCTGTATAAACCAGTCCTTGGATGCAAAATTCCTTTGGAGGCAGGGAGAGCGTTTGGTGAGGCAACCTGGAAAGGGATGCCTGTGTGGGCCATCAGCCAAAAGGAGGAATAATGGCTATAATCCTAAAGGTGGATCTCATTAATGCACTACAGTATCCACTACCTTTAACAAAAGTATTAAAAAATAACAAAAGTTATTTTTACCCCTCAGTCTTCTCTGATTTTAAAACCTAAACAGTGGTACTTCCTCAGACATCACCTGATGGTCACTAGTATCATTCTTATCTTTGTCACCTCCTAGAGGTATCAGTATATTCCCAAGCATTGGCTGGATTTCTGTAACATGTTTTCTGTCAAAATCTCAAAATGCAATTCAGAGAAAATTTAAGATAGCATTTAAACAGTGCTGTTACTTCTTAACATTTGAAAAACAAAAGAAAACAAGAAAAACGTAAGCCATTTCTTAGCTTCTCCCTCTGACCCTCTCCCCTCTCATGCTCTCTCTCTCTCTCATTCTTTCTCTCAAATAAATAAATAAAATCTTAAAAAAAGACATTTCTAAGAAAAAAAAACAATGTAACAATTCCACTCATTGACATCTTATTAATGGTAAGATTATTTCTAAAAAGAGGTCATGCAGCATGAAGAGAAGACTTACAAATTTCCCATGAAAACATGAAAGTTTATTATACAAAGACTTTATGAGGAAAGGAATTACAAAAAATAAAGCAGAAAAAAATAATTTTTGGATAGATGACTATAGGTTATATGCTCATACATGAAATATAAGCACAATACTTGAAATTTAATATATTTTGTAGATGCCACCAAGACTTTTTGACTGGGAATCATAAAGATAATATGACAATGTTAGGATGATTCTAAGTCACTGAAAGTTTTACCCGCAAAATACATGTGCATCTCTCTGTACCTATGAACCTCAGAAAGTGAAGTGTCTTGCTACTTAGCCAAACATTCACTCATCCATGCATTCAACAAAAATTTAATGAATACCTGCTATGTGCTAGGCATGTTCTCAGATCAGAACATTGAAAAGGGTGAATAAAAAATACAGTTGTTAGTTGTATTTCTAGTCTTCATTTTCTCCTCTCCGATACCATATCCTTTAAAAAATTTATTTTTTTAAGTTTTTAAAGATTTTAATTAATTAATTTATTTATTTATCTGAGAGAGTGCAAGCAGCAGGAGGGGTGGGAGGTAGGAAAGAATCTCAAGTTGTCTCCCCACTGGGCACAGAGCCCCACACAGGGCTTGATCCCATGACCCTGAGATCATGACTTGAGCCAAAATCGAGTCGGACGCCCAACTGACTGAGCCCCCCAGGTGCCCCATCCTTTGAAAAGAGTGTTCTCCCACTGTGGATGGAGAATACTTCCTTGGCTCTTGACTTTGGAAATGGCCATATGCTTTGATTCAGCCAATGGAAAAAAGATAGGCAAAGTGGACGGTGTGTTAGTTTCAAACCTAGTTGTCAAGAGACCTTTCCTGTCTCCACTTGCTCTCTTCATCTCTGGTCAACACAATGAGAAAAGTATATCTGGACTAGTTTTCTAATCTCAGGGGGAGAAAGAAAGAGACATTAAGAAGTACCCCAGCTAAATTCAGATTAGATCAATTGACCTCTAGACAAACTCACAGTTTCAGGAATAAATAAATGCTTATTATTGTATGTCACTGAATATTGGAATTTTATTATAGTTGCTAACTGAAAAAAAATACCTTCAGGCATTTCATAATTAAATGTGATAGAAAAACATATGGATATAACACACTTTGGTAAATAACATAATAGTAATAGGAGCCAAATCCTGGGAGAAATGAAACGAAAAATAACTGCCTGAAATGATCAAGTACATAAGTATAAAATTGTGGTATTGTGAGAACAGGCAATAAATTACCTAACATTATAGAGAATGTAGATCCACAGATTGTTTTTAATATAAAAATACAAAACTGGCACCAATTCAGGATATATAAAAGGATAGGCAAGTACTCAGACATCTAATTCTAATTCTGCTAAAAGCTGATCATCCAATAAACAAAAGAAAAAAAAAGAGCATTATTTATCTTTCAGCCAAGTTCATTTCTCAACAGACTGAAAAGGGCAGTGAGAAAAACTGCTTACTCTGGATTTAATTTTTAACTAGCAAAGAATGACTTGTTAGTGAACTCAACTATATAAAATAATATCCATATGTTGGACTCTACCACATGAATTTTTTTAAATGTCTTATTTAGAATAGTTTTAATTGTGGAAAAGTTACAAAAATAGTACAGAAAGCTCACATATACCCCACACCAAGTTTCCCTTATCTTTAACATCTCCCATTTGTACAGTTTATTTGTCATCATTAATGAACATTTATAAACTATTATTTTTTAAAGCCCATATTTCTTTCATATTTCCTTAGTTTTTACCTAATATCCTTTTTCTGTTCCAGGTTTTCATCCAGCAAATCACATTACATTTATTTGTCAAATCTCTTTAGGTTCCTTTTGAATGTGACAGTTTCTCAGATATTCTTTGTTTTTGATAACCTTGATATTTTGAGGAGTACTGGTCAGGTATTATATAGAATGTGCCTCAATTGGGATTTGTCTGATGTTTTCCTCATGATTAGATGTGGGGTTATGGGTTTGGAGAGGAAGATCACATAGGTAAAGTGTCATTCTCATCACATCATACCAAGGGTATAGACTATCAATATGACTTGTCCCTGCTGATCACCCTAACCTTGATCACCTGCCTCTGGCTGAGGTAGTGTTTGTTAGGTTTCTCCACTGCAGAATTAATTTTCCTTCCCTTTCCATATTGTACTCTTTGAAAGGGAGTCACTGTGTGCAGCCCACACTTAAAGACTGGGGAGTTATGCTCCACCTCCTCAAGGGCAAATTATGTACATACAATTATTTGGAATTCTACATGGCAGATTTGTCTATGCTCTTTTATTATTTATTTATTTATTATTTATTTACTTTTAATTATTTTTATTTAGTCATTTATATCGTATAGAGTCATGGATATTTATTTTATACTTTGGATTATAATCCAATATTTATTTATTTTGATATTCAAATTGTTTCAACTTTAGCAATTAGAATGGAGCTCTTTCAGTTGGCCCCTATATCCCTCTGACATACTCCACTGGTGTGCGTGTGTGTGTGTGTGTGTGTGTGTGTGTGTGTGTGTGTGTGTGGCACTACACTTTCTGGCACTACACTGGAGAATGATACTAGAAACCAAGTTCTAGGTGCTATATGTGTTCATTGTTACTGGAGTATCATTGTTTCTAGTGCCTCTCAGCTGAAAGAATAAGGAAATATATATGGTGTACCAACTCATATATAAACACATATCTACCTATATTAAGCCAAAACTTCAGTTCATACTAATGTCCCAAACTCTAATCCACTCCCACATGGATCATTCTAGCCTCCTCTATTTGCTTATTTGTAAACTTCCACTCCAACAGTGGATAACTGGCTCCCCCATCTACTATCCCCTTCCTTAACTTTAAAATTCTTAACCTATATGCCCATGGGGAACAATTTTATCAACTGGAAGACATTGCCTCTAGTTTTTCAACTTCACTCCTTTCCAAAGTTGCATAGATCAGCACCATTCTTTCTACTACCTTCAGTGAACTGTTTTATACATTTGTGCTACAGATAGATTCCTTTTTCACATTATATATTATATAGTGAGATTCCTTGACTGCCTAAATACTCTAAACAATTTTTCATACATTAAAGTTCATCCTTTGACCTGTAAAACTGTATAGGTTTTGACAAATTCACAGTGTTATGTTTCTATCATTAAAATACCATACAGAATACTTTCACATCTTAAACATTCCCTTGATTCTCCTATTCAACTTCTCCCCAAAACACTGTCAAACATAGATCTGTTTACCATCTCAACAGTTTTCCTTTTACAAAATACATAAATTGGAATCATACAGTATGTAGCCTTTCCAGATTGGATTCTTTCACTTAGCAATATGAATTAAGGATTTGTCTATGTCTTTGTGTGCTTGATAGCTCATTCCTTTTTATCATTAAATAATATTCCATTGTACAGATATACCACAGTGTGTTTATCCATTCACTACCGAAGAAAACCTTGGTTGCTTCACATTTTTGGCAATTAAGAATAATGATGCTGTTACCGTCTGCATGCAGGTTTTTCTGCAGACATAGGGTTTCAAATCATTTGGGTAAGTATCTTGGGAGTGTGATTGCTGGGTCATATGGCAAAACTATGTTTCACTTTAAAAACAAAATACTTTAATTCCTATCTTTGTTCCCTTATTCCTCCACAAGCAAGGTGGTTTTGTTGTCCCCTTTAGATTCTTTCAAAATATTCTCTTTCTCTTTGGCTTTCTGCAGTTTGAATATATGATATGCCAAGCCTGTGGAGTTTTTTTGTGGGTTTTTTGGTCATTTTTTGTTTTTATTTTTTTTCTATTTTTTCTACTTTATCAGTTTGATATTCTCTGAGCTTCCTGGGATCTGTTGTTTGGTGTCTGTCATTAATTTGGAAATTTCTCAGCCATTTAATAATTAAAATTAAATATTTTATTTAATTTTAAAATATTTAAAATTATTTAAAATTTTTTAAATATAATTTAAAATTTTAAAAATTATTTAAAAATTATTTTAAAAATAAAATTAAAAATCAAATATTTATTCTGCCTCATTCTCTTTCTTCTCATTTGGAATTCTAATTTTGTATATGTTATAATTTTTAAACTTTTTAAATTATGTCCCATAATTCTTGGATGTTCTGTTTTGGTATTTTTTTTTGTTATTGTTGTTCTTCTTTTTCCATTTAGTTTGGAAAGTTTTTATTGACCTATTTTCAAGCTCACTGAATCTTCGTTCAACTATGTCAAATCTACTGATGAGTTCATTAAAAGTATTCTTCATTTTTGTTATAGTGTATTTAATTTCTAGCATTTTCTTTTAATTCCTTCCTAGGATTTTTCTCTCTTTCTGCTTACATTACTCATTTTGTCCTTGCATAGTGTCTGCTTTTTCAACTAGATTCCATAACATATTAATCATTGTTAATTTCAATTTCTTGTCTGTTAATTCCAACATCTCTGTCATATCTAAATTTCGTTCTTCCTCTCTTCAGATTATATTTCCTCTTCCCTTTTGACACAACTCATAATAATTTGTTGAAATAAATTGTTGAAAGTCAAATATGTTGTATCAGGTAGTGGAAACTGAGATAAATGGGACTTTAGTGTATTTATTCTAATTTGGCTAGAAGCTGGGCTGTGTATAATGTTTGCCATAGCTATAGACAGTCAAGGCTTCGGTTTCTTCTATTACCTTTATTTTTGTCCTCCCTCTTGATGTTGAGACTTCCCAAATATTCATCTTCAGAGAGAGAGCCTATATTTTACAACTTTTTGAGTTGTAATCCCCTGTTGCTATACTGAAGCCATGTTTGTACGGTGATAAGGTGTGAGTAGGTGAAACATTACATGATTTTCTGATTCAATCTCTGTCTCTTGGCTGGCCAATGTCTCTAAGCTGTGACTTAACAGAATTGTTTCTCCAATTGTAGCTCCCCCTCCAACTCTTTCCTGCCTTACTGTTCAGTCTATTTCCTTGTTGCCCCAACATCGTTTTGACTCTGTTTTCCCACATATATTTTGGTGAGACAGTAAGGTTTGATGGTCCTAAAGTGGAAACAATGTCTGTTCCCAAATAGGATACAAATCTGGTGAAGTATTTTTCCCTAGAGAGTAAGCCTTTGTTATGGAGAAAGCTCTGGGTCCATTCACAGTGATTACTCTTCTCTTCCTGCGGGAGCTACAAAGCAATTCTCCTCCAAGCTCTATCATGGGAACCTTGTAGAATTTCTGGAAATAAAAGTCTAAATAGTGTGGGGAACCCCCTCAGGACAAAGGTCCCCAGTTGTTCCTCACTCTTCATGCTAGCCTACACCCAGTCTCCAGAAATTCATCAGAATTAGTATTTCATTGTTCTTACCAGTTTGTGCTTCCAGTGACTTCTGTTCCAGGTAAGCAGATCTCAGCTATGATTCTGGATGCTCCTATCTCTCCAGACTTAAAGGAGATAGTTGGCTCTTTTATCTCAGTTCTCTGATGGGTCCAAAAGAAATGAATGATTTTTAGTTTGTCTAGCTTTTTCTTATTTTAAAGATGAAAGTGATGGCTTCCAAGCTCTTATTATGTCTGAGTTCAAACCAGAAGTCTCAGATAATTCTTAAACAGTCAGGATCTTTCAAAGTAGATGTGTTTAGGAGATTGTGATTTCACTCTAATTGAACAATATAATTTATCACGAAAGGAGGAAAGCATGTGGCATAAACATTATAGAGGTAATTCATATATGAGGTATGAAATTGGGCTAAATAATAATTGGAAGGTTTTCCAAACCTGAGATTCCACAATTCTCTAAATTGTGATGAGACAGAGCAAGTCAACCCAAATGAACAAATTCTCCAATAGTATGTTTACCAACATGAGAATGCCTTAGAGCAGGCAGGGAGTTTTAGCTGAAAATCCCTAAATTGAATTCAAGATTATGATGAACTTTCTGAAGCTATATAAAAAACTGTGCATGTAAGAGCATCTGTGCTTTTCTCAAGCTAAGAGAATCTATAGCTTTCAACAGATTCTAGAAGAGATTCCTAACTTCTGTAAAATATTAAGAATTAAAAATTTTGATATTGTACCCTATGTCTAGCTTTGTTCAATAAACAAAAGATATGAGTGGTATAGAAGTTTTATTGCTTCATATTAAGTTATATTCAATTCAGAAATCAGGTATTGTTTATAAAGTATCAGGCACCAAGGGCTGAATGCAACAGGTCTTGCCCTAGTGAGGGAGAAAACTGACTAAGCAGAATATTATATCTTTTTGGTAAGAGGTTCAATGCATTCAAAAGTCCAGATATAACAGAGAGGGAACTACAAAGAGTTCAATGGGTTGGGCAATGTGGGATCTCATTTTGTAAACAAAAGGATATTTGGGTGGAAATGCAGGCAGAGGTCAATTCATAAAAGGCCTTGTGTACCATGCTAAGGATTTTAAACATCCTGAAATCCATGAAGAGTAACTGGAAGGTATTTTTAACTGAAGAGAGATACATTGTCCATTTAAGTGATAGAAAATTCATTGTGGCCCTTACTGTGAGGAATATATAGGGTAGTAAGGTAGGATACTCAGGCAAAACTAGATTTGAGAAACCCGGCAGATAAGTGCTGAGGTAATCCAAGTGAAAAAGGAGTACCTGGACTATGGATATGGCAATAGGATGGGAAGAAACAATATGGATTCCAGAGGCATTGAGATGAACACTGGATATGGTGAGGAGGAGAAAGAAAAACAGCCTGACTTTTCTTGTTCCTAGCTTTTACATTCCCAGGTAGTAATTAGAACTTTTCATCATTAATTTTCAAATTAATTAATGTATTAATTTTTCAAATTAAATAACAATTTTACTCCTAATTTTATTTTTTTACTATTTTTTATTATGTTATTATTTTTTAAAAAATGTTTTCATAGATTTTATTCAAAGCTGGAGTGTCAAATGAAATATCAGGTAAATACTTATGTATACAACATACACTTGTTTGTATATTTGTTTGATTTGAATTTACTGATGCAAATATGAATGGTGCCTCTGGAACAGATTTTTTTTTCTTTTTTTGCCTCTGGTACAGTTTTGCACTTTTCTACTAGATTGTTCTTCTAAACATGGTTTAAGCATAAAATACTTGGAAATATTAAACCTGTATCTTTTATCTGTACAGTAAAAAAGATCTGCTTTCCTCTGGTTGTTTCTTCTCTAGATTATTTGAAGTGATGGCTAAATCATTGAATATGCTGCTCAGTGATGCCATGTTGTGAAATATTGATGATGTATTACTGTGAAGCAATTTTAGGCACTGATGTGAAAGGTGCTATTCAAACTGAAGTTAGAATTTGTTCTTAGGCAACACATGGCAAAGTTTACGAGCATCTGTAAGCAGCTAATCTCAAGCTCAATTATACTTAAATTGAAAGAGAGATACCTGCTATCACCATCAGAGGCCAAAGTAAAAATAAAAAGAGGGAAAAAAAAGCCACTGTACTTCCTAATGAAATATCAAACATAGAAAATAAAAGACTCCAAGATTGAATTTTATCAGCTTGTAGCACATTTGCAACAAATAATTCCTCTAAGCAATGAGGACAACTTCCAGAGCATAAGACATTGGATGAGGGACTGACAAGAGCAAAGTAAAATCTTCCTGAGCAAATGACTCTTCAGTGGCTGTTTGTTCTTTCATAACAGTTGTCAGGTCCATGCTGCAGTATCTTTTATATCACAAATAGGTATTTGGTTACCTATAGAAATATGTAATGTTCTGGTGGAGATAATATTGAAGAGAATGCAAAAAGTATGTTACTACTTCTTACTGCTTTCTAACTTTGGACTTCGAAAATTAATAGGTCAGCAGTGGAGATAAGACACATTTCTCGTTTTCTGGTCCCTGAATGTAAATGGTTCTTAAAATGCCTCAAAAGAGTCCATTTTCTGGAACTAAATTATAAGAGGACCTTGGAAAACATCTCTGGAGATCCAGTTGTAAAGGGGAAGCCCCAGGGAGAGGGGATTCTGGAGAATGGATCTAAAACTTTTACAAACTAGGCACAAAGAAGGCATTATACACATGTGATAACAACCCCTACCCCACTTTCTCTTCCATTTTTTTAAGGATTTTTTTTAAAGATTTTATTTATTTATTTGATAGAGAGAGTGAGAAAGAGAGAGAGCACATGAGCGAGCAGGGGCAGAGGGAGAGGGAGAGAAACAGACTCCCCTGCTGAGCAGGGAGCCTGACACAGGGCTTGATCCCAGGACCCTGGGATCATGACCTGAGCTGAAGGCAGATGCTTAACTGACTGAGCCACCCAGGGCCCCCGACCATTTTCTCTTCCTAACACACTACACAAATTGCCCTATTTCTCCCCCATTTGATTGATCATATTAACAGTCTTCACTTCTTTAATTTTATTTTTATTTTTTTAGATTATTTATTCATGAGAGACAGAGAGAGAGAGAGAGAGAGGCAGAGGGAGAAGCAGGCTCCGAAGGAGCAGGGAGCCCGATGCGGGACTCGATCCCAGGACCCTGGGATCATGACCCGAGCCAAAGGCAGACACTTAACCATCTGAGCCACCCAGGCACCCAACAGTCTTCACTTCTTTAAAGATTTTAGATGGTAGGGGTTGAGATGAATGGAATGATTCTAGGCCATCTCACCTGTTGACCACATAGCAAGAATTCTAGAATCTAAATTAGTTATCATTTAGAAATCAGTAGTGGTCCTACAGATGTTGGTGCTGCCCATCCATTTTCTCCATCACCCATGTAGTACTCAGCACCCTGTAACCTGGGGACTTCCTGCTTCCTTTGCTTAACCTTTACCACCATTTGGTGGTAGCCTACTTCTCAAAATATATTACAACACAAAATCTCAGAAAACTTGGCTCTTTGTAAACAAGACTTCTGTAGACCACCTTCTCCAATAGATGACAAAGGACTAGTCTTAGAAGAATTCTACCTCCAGTGAGGAGTCCATCAATCATATTTGCATAAATGAAGGAATGGAGGAATATGCCCCTAGAAGAATTATGATACATGGTGTTTCTTTTTTTCCCTGAAATGCTCTGGCTGGAAATACCAGGTAATTTGTTTAAGAAGTTTAAGAAGTTTTTTTGACCCTCTAAAGTCAAATCCAATTTAACTCAGCAAAATTTTAATTAGTGCCTACTATAAGCCATGTGCTGTAGTAAGCAAACAAATGTGAAAAAGACATGGTCTCTATCCCCAAATCCAACAGCAGATAGGTATGAAGACAGTCACTACACAATACTGTGGTATGTGTCATAACAAAGGGAGGGTCTAAGTCCTCAAACTACACAAATAAGGCAGTAGCTTTCCATGTTTCTTGGGGATACAGAGAAGACACACAAATGGAATTAGAGCTGCATTTTGAAGGTTATAATCATCAGATGAAAAATAAAAAGCAAACAGAAAAAATATATTAAAATGATACATGCAAAGGTCACTGACAAGAAGGAATAGCAGCTGCTTAGGGACTTTTAAGCAGTACAATGCATCCTATGTCCAGCACACTTGACCCATGCCCTCTAGAGGCAGAGATGACTGATTAGGTTGCATCTACATAATGATGGTTTTATATGCCAAAAGAGGAGTATGGATTTTATTTTGAAGTTAGCTTTTAAGCATGAAGTGATAAAGCCAGAAATTTAACAGACAGGGTATAGTACAGGGAGACAAACTAGAATAGGAAAGATATTGAGAAAGAAACCATAATACACTTTTCTAGCTAAAAGCAATGGGCCCTTCAATTTCCAAAGTAATATATACATACATACATTTAAGCATACATAAAAGATTATAAAATTAATTAGTATTTTATTATAATAAAAATTTAACATTTGGCATGAGGTCCGGGGTTTAAAGATGTAAATATAAGTAAGCCAAAAGAATTGAGCTTCCTGTTCACATAAAATGATCATTGAAGTATTACCCTCATTACCTCAAAAATGTATTTCTGATTTTAAAAGCATTGAAGAGCAATGCAGGATTTTACTGAATTCTCTTGTAAAGGTGATAGGGGCTTAAGAAGAAAGGTGAGAAATTAAACCACACAAACACAGCAAAATGTCCTTAAAATCTTTTGTAGACAGCTTTCTTTTGAGAGTTCCTCTTGTCATAGCAGTTGCTTACAAAACATTTATCCTTTCTCCATTTCTACTCTCCTACTCCACTCTCTACTATTTCACCCAACCACGCATTCCTCCAGCCTCCTTCCACAAAGCACTGTATGTCTTTTCTAATAGAAATGTTAGTTAACCCTCTTGATGGTTTCTTCCAGGTTTCCTCTGACCTCTATCAGCGCTAATATCAGATATTAACACTTACCAGCAAAAGCCTGGAAGACTATCAGCATGATGAGTACTCTATCTTTAGAAGACAGGAGATGAGGACAGCATTATGAACTCTTTTACATTCATATTTTGTCCTGTTACTAAAGGACAAAAAGCAGTGGAAAAGAGGAGA